AGAAATAATTCTTTATGCCTCACAGAAATAATTCAAATATTTGACCTTTTACGGCTGAACAGCATCCCAATCTGTTATAAAAACTTTTGCGGACAGATAAGAAAAAGTTTTTCCTGTAACAGACTTGGAGACTTCGCTTTGGGTTTTTTATTTTTCCAAATTTTGCAGTCTAGCCTCAGGATGATCATATATGATGCTTTTTAAATGTCTCCAAAAAAAGAAGTCCGTGGGTGTAAGATCTGGAGATCGCGCGTTTCACTTAATATTGCCTGTTTCGCTGATAACTCGATTCGAGAAAGTATTGCTTAAGTAGGTATTCCTTGATTATTCGACTGTTGTGAGCTGCACAGCCATCCTAATGAAACCAAATATTCTGCAGATTTACATCAGGAATATTAAGAATAGTGGAAAGAATATGATTCTGTAACAAATCGAGGTATACTCTAGTATTCAAATTGCCCTCAATAAAAAATGGACCTATTATGTGGTCTCCTAAAATGCTAGTCCAGACGTTAACGTTTTTGAGGACGTAAGTTCGATAAACAACACATCTGTGCTGGTTTTCCCTTAGCCAATACCTCGTAAAGGAAAGATTGCGTTCCTCTACTAACGAAACAGGATAAAGATCCTGCGTTTAAAAAAAAATCTCCTGGTCTCTCCTCAAAAAACACAGAAAATAAATCTACACACTGTAGTTAAGAATCACCACAGTCCAATTACATCTGTCGATGCAAAACGTTAATTTTCAATATACATAATAATTTTAAGTGATCGAAAACATAGTTTTAAGAACGAAAATATTAAAAAGCATTTAGTTCTAGCTATTAATAATAAAATTTTACGTGGTTTAATTTTTAATCATTAAATAACAATTATCGGGTTAATAAAGCTTACTATTATTTATTTTACTTGGTAAAATAGTGCTATTTGGAATATGTTTAATTCTGTTTCTTTGTATTGAAGAGTGTAGAAGGATATGGTATAAATACGTTTTGAAGCTACTTGCCAAATAAGTCAACTTTGTCCATATTGTTACTAGGATAGTTATTGGCATCTTTTTTAGTGGATAGGTAGTTGTTGGGGACGTTTGAGTTTTCTTGAGCTTTCTAAAGTAAATAATTGGTAACTTCAGTTTCACATAGATTTTCTAGGAATTTTTGAAAACCCAAGATTGTTGCCAATTTTTTTGTAACTGTCGTTTTTCTGCAATTTGATATTTAATTGTGAGAAAGATGCGTGACTTTCTGTTTGGGGTAGTTAGAGCTCGCATACCAAGCTACAATTTGTATCTTTATTGTTACGGTCACTGTGATAACATAAATGAAAATTTCTGTTTTTTTTTCTAAAATTCATTCAATAATGTTGCCTGTTGAAAAATGCATTTATTTATTTTTGTTTCCAAAATTTTTGTTTTGATTAGGAAACCAACATTAGACTAGTTAAAACGTTAGTCTTCTCAATTCCGAAACTTCTAGTATTCGATTTCAAGAGCATTAAAAGCTTGATGCATATATGATACGGCGTTGGAGAAAAATGCTCCGAATACCTTGGACTGCTCATCGTATAAACGCTTCTACTTTAAATCAACTTAATATCTGCAATCTGCCTACAGAAAATTCTTCAGTTCTTTGGACATGTGGCCCGCGAAAATAGAACTACTTTAGGAACACTGTCGCCATAAACGTTCCAGGAAGGAGAGCAAGGGGATAATTACCGACTCGGTGAAAGCATCTAGTTTTAGAGAGACATTCGAAACCTTCTAAAAAAATCCACATCGTTCAAAGTTTCAAAATAGTTTAATCGATTCTTGATAACTCGAGGTCTTCTTTCTGTTTCTTCTTCAGAATCAGATCAGGAATCGAATCGATCTAGATTTTCGATAAACTGTAGTGATTCCATATTATAAATAGTACCAAAGCAACAATTAATTAATATAAAATAATACAAAAAGTACATCCGTCAAAACTGTTAAAACATAACCTCACTTTTAACTATAAGTAATGCCTAAACTGTTTAGGGAGATCGCAAAACGTATCCTACTATTAGGTAATGCTTAAGCGGTTTAGGCAATTCTTAGCGTATGGTGAAATCCGTTTTAGAGTTAGGAAGTACCTAAGCCCGCTTAGGTAATTCTTAAATATTTAGGTAACGTCGGTGAAATCGGACATAAGAGTTATTCTTCTTTTTATGGTGCTTATCCGTTACGGATGCTGGAAACTAAAGGTCGATTCAGACACATCAGTCACGTCTGGTCACAGTGATTGCGCCGAACCGAACAATCCGTCATACAAAATATTCTTTAATACAAATGTGTTGCCGGCATTCACACTCATCAGTTGACAAACAGTTTCCCAGCTGTCAGATAGTTGATAGTTCTGTGACCAAACAGGACCGGTTCGGCGCCGAGACTATGACGGGACTGATGTGTCTGAATTGACCTTTACATGGCTATTCTGACTTTGTTGACTGCTGCCCTGAAAAGTCCGGTAGTGGTTAAGTTAAATAATTTTCGCAGGTTATAAGAATTATACCTTATTTAAAATTTAAGAAAGTTACTGGCAACAGCTCCATGATGTAGGCTTTCATCTGCTTGTGAAAATGCAATAGGACTGAGCTTTTATAGTTTTTGCCAACAAGTTTTTGGTCCAATGTTCAGTACAAATTGACAAAGATACATGTTTGCTTTGCTTGGACAGTAGGGATTAAACCTGATTTGCTTCACCTAATGACTTTTAATGATCTTTATTTCCTAAAGAATTTGTTGAAAACTATTGAAAATTGATAAATATAGATAAGCTATCGAGAATGAGTATTTTACTCTTTATATACTTGTATTTTTCTTCATGTTATTGTTTAGTTCGACAATGTAACTCTCCTATTTATACATAGATTATTGAATCATGCTTTAGTCGAAACAGTAATGATAGTCTTTTATACAATGGTAGCCAATATTTGTGTGCGCCTGTATTCCAGTGCTCAGTCACTTTAACAACAAAGCGCTATCAGATATTGGCTCATGCAGATGATAGTGCGATTCTGGCTAGATCTGTGTATGGATTAAGAGACGTATGCAGTGTATTACAAACCTCATCAGAAAAACTCAATCTAGTCATTATTGAAATGAAATGAAAGTACATGAAATTTACAGTAGCTCGAACAGGATTATGGGATCCGGTAATCTTCAAAATCAACGAGAATGCAGATAACGCCCTAGAATTAAAACAAGTGGAGAACTAATATACACGAGAGCGGAAAAGATGACTGTGAGCTGGACGCAATAATACAAAAAGAAAATGTTAAGGCAGTTACAAAAAATTATTAAATCTAAAAACATATCAGGACGAACCAAAATACATATATACAAAACAGTTTTAAAACCGACAGTTCTCTATGTAAGCCAAACATGGTTGCTAAACCAAACACAGGGGAAAGGAAATATCTAGAAGAAAAACAAATGCTGAGATCACGAGTCTTTTTAAGGAGCCTGCGATATCAAAAGTTGTAAAAGCTTTAAGATTGAGTTAGTTGGGACATTTAGAAATAATAAATGAAAAAAGAATACCAAAAATGGTATAAATACAAATAAATACAAAGATGGGTGACAAAAGAAGAGTAGTTTTACCAAGAAAGTCAAGAATATGTGTCAAACAGGAGCAGCGACAATGCACATCCCTGTCTAACTCTACATTTAATATTGATATAACTTGACTCTTCTCTTTGAGAGCGTATATACGAAATATATATTTAAAACAATACTTTGAACACTGAATAGAGTTTCTCTAGTACCCACTGCGTTTTGTAAATTGAATTGAATGGGATCGATTTTTTCTTCACATAAGCTAAATCAAGATTTTTTGATGTATGATTTTTATAATTAATGTTAGAAAAATATTAAAGAATACCTAACAGTATTCAAAAAACTAATAAGCTGTAAACTACAGATCAACGTAAATCAAAAACCTAGGAATATAGTTGAGATCTTTAGACGTTCCTAGATATAATAAGTAACCATGATATTTACCGAGATACATCCAAGCAAATTTGAAGGGCAGCAGTAATTATGGGTATATTAAGACAATATGGAAAACGAAGTACCTGGGATTAAAAATAAAAACTGCGATATACAAAACCTGTATTCGACCAATACCAATACGCCATTAAAACGCTAGCTAATACAAAAAGGATAACACAGGCCAAAGAAGAGCCAAAAAATGCATTATGATCAATAGTGAATATAACCCAGTAAAAATAGGTCTCATACTTAACGTAAGAAGCCCAATCTAACTATTCAAATAAAAATCTTTAACCAATAATATCTTCCATTTTTTTAACTGTATTTAGTCAGTATCTTTGTAAACAAACATAACTAATCACCACTATACAAACAAGACAACTGAAATACCTAATCCACGTGATGAAAGGAATAAAATATGAAATTCTGAGATCCATAAAATAGATAAAGATTCAAGAAAGAAGATCTGTTGGCCGAAGTCAGATTTCTGGAATGAAAAATCTACGTGATTGGTATTTAATGTAGATTGATTGATTGATTTAGAACAGCAAATTTATGTCGGTGAGATAGCCAAGCAGGCTGGGCGGCCGGATTCTCACTCGCTTCACTGCTAGTGGTTCAGCGAATGTAAGTTCAATCCCTAGCTTGGTGTACAGAAAACAAAAAGGCTAACGCAGCAGTTTAAAATTCTAAATAAATCTGCGGCTTAGACTAGAATATGCTGGTGTCTGATCGGCCTATGGTGGAGCACTACGGCAAGAGATAAGAGCTTGCGGCTTGGTGATACTCCTCCATAGATCCCTACCGGAAGGGCGTGTGCCTCCTAAATACCGGGTATATATATATATATATATATTATATATATATATATATATATATATATATATATAAGTTTAAAAATAGCCATTATGATTACCTACGGAAGTACTTTAACTTTAAGAAGCAGAAGAAGATCGATATCTTTACAAAAACACATGTTATTTTATTCTATAAATCATTTATTTAATAAAAGTAGATAAATACACTTATTAACACAGTTTCTATTAAATAATACTGTACGCTTCTTGGTTTCGAGAAAATTCGAAATGAGATTATGAAACAATGAGAGTATTTCTTACATTAACAACAGCGCATAACAAGGATGTGGCAACTTTGTAAGTTTTAGTCAGCAACAATTTTGTTCAGAAACACTGATCAGAACCAAAAATACAATAACCAATTGACTAAATTATTCCTAGAGAAAAGAAGAACACTTTCTGGCCCATGTATTTGACAGCTCTGTGTTTTTCATATCAAAATTGTTGGTTACTAAAAGACAAATTAAAAAGACGTAACAACAACTTCAACGATGCTCTCAGTGGTAGTCACCATGGCCTCCGAAATCATGACCGCCGTAATCACCGTGACCGATTTCGGCATGACCGCCGAAATCATGACCTTGATGTTCGTGGTGAGGAATGTGAACTGGGACATGTACTGGTACCTTGACTGGGTAGGGTACTGGTTTTTCTACTGGGTATGGTACTTCTTTAATGACTGGGTATGGTTTGTCAACATGTACCTAAAAAAAAAAAATTTTATTTTTTAATAAACTGCAAGGCAATCTAACAAGCAAACATTTAACTGACAGTGTTGATAATAAAAGAGATGAGTAAATAGAAATTTTGAGAGAAAACTAATAAACTATTGGTAAAAATATTAGACCTTCAAATTAAAAGTGTTGAGAACTATTCACTTCACAATAATAATCTAAGTAATAGCTTATCAGTTCTACGATTTTTATTATTACTTGCAGATGAAGTTTATAATCCAAGAAAATTAAAACAATATGCAAAGCTTACTACATATTTTCTACTTAAGGACCAATAAATATAACATACAAGTCATCAAAGTAAAGGATGTAATAACGTCTGGGCATAGGACGTAATAACGAAATAGTAGAATAACAGATAGGCCAGTATTCACGTATCTACGGAAGTGATAATTATATAATAACAAAAAATGTAATAGCAGAATTTAAGCTTTGGAAATAAAATTTTTATGAAAGGTTAAACGTTGCCCAAGACTCGACAAATTAAGAAATGAAGAAATTAAAAATGAACCCAATGTCGAAAGTATGTAAAAATGTATAAGAAACTATAAAGAAAACCGGTTTCATGGAAAGTATAATATTACAACTTTAAGTACTATTCAGATGAATTCATAAATCCATGGTATAATTACAGTATTGCGGAATTTTCATCACATAAAGTACAAAAATTACTTGACAATGTCGTTGAGAGCTGTAAGAAAGCAGGTCTGGATCTGAACATGCGGAGAATCAAAATACTTATAATAAGTAAACAACAGTATATTAAACCGTATATCAGTATCTTGGATATCAGTTAAACTGTAACGCAGAGAGTCACGGTGAAATTGGATCCAGAATTGAGCATGCTAGAGCCGCTTTTAGAAGCGGCTTGTAACAAAGACCTAAAATTGGCATTGCGGATCCACTTAATGCGCTGCTATGTGTTTTAGGTCTTACTTTATGGTGTCAAGTCTTGGACTATGAATAAAAGTAATCTAAATCCCCTTGATACGTTCCAAATGTGGTGCTATAGAAGAATTTTAAAAGTTTTTTGAATGAATAAGATTCGAAACTCCACAATACTAGAACTTCTCAGCAATATTACTGCGATTATAAAAAGCATTAAGAAGAGAAAACTGGAGTACTTTGGACATGTAAATAAGAGGTTTCAAATATAGGTTGCTACAAAATAGCAGGCATACGCAGTAAAATGGTATGGTAAATATACAAGCATACTATTTAGAGTAGGAGTGAATAAAATTAAGATGACTATGAGGGTAACCAATGTACTGAAAGGAAATGGCACATGAAGAAGAAGAAAGTTCAAAAATCAGTTTACTGGACGTAGGGATCTATCTAAAAATTAGGAATTATGTGATAGATGTAATACTATCACAAAACATTGATTTATTACAGTATATGTTAAGCGTAAGTAAGTATATGATAATTGCTTGGACTTAGGAAAATTAACAAAGAAAGAGTAGAACTGCAACTTGCTCAGCAAAACACTGTCGTGTGTTTCTTGCATTGCACCTGTCTAGAGAGAAGAAATGCTTAAACTTTCCATAAAAATAAATGATGATAAATTAAACGAGTAAATAATTTAGAAAATATCTCTTATTTTGGTGTATGTTATGTATGTTATGAAGGTTTAAATAAATTAATTATTGTTCTGGAAAAGTAGGTAGACACCTTATATTAAGTGACAAAAAATGTTTACATAAAATTTATCACTATTCATTTAAATAAACATGTAGATGCAGGTATTATGACGATTGCAAAAATGTGCAAAAAATGCAGAACATTCCTACGACAGATAAATGGCTGGTTTATAACGATAGTTGAAAAGGAAACATTCTTGCAAAAGTACATATATTTAACATTTTTGATCTGCTTTCTAATATATTATCCAATAGTTTATAAATAGGGCAAGTAATATACATATACATTTATATTTATATTTATATATTGAGTAATGTATTGCAAATGTGACCTATCCTATAGCAAATATTTAATTTATTATTTTGTCCACAAAATGTGGACAAATAGGTACATGTTTATTTTTGGCTCTATTTATTTTTGTTAACAGTATTATATTAAGTTTCATTGTCATGGTTGATATTGACTCAAAATTTTAAAGGATTTGATGTTTTTTATAGTCTGTGTTTGTTGTTATACTACATGATTCTGTAGCATATAAAAATAAGGACCAAATATACTATCCGACCAATACATATAAAGATAAGGACTACTTATATTTGTGTCTTTTTTGAGAGCCGTAAAATCTTGTCGTCGTGGAGTGGGTTTATATGCTTAGTCATGGCAGCCAATTCTTTAATATGAGCTGTAATACAAGTGGTAAGAATGAAACGATATAGTAGAAGCTAAGAACTCTTTCTTCAACCCCGGATATCAAGCACATCTAGGTTTCGCTAACCTTGTCCTGAAATGCGGTTCTGTATCAGAACTGTCCATCCTTTCTAAATTTTTATGACGGCTAACAAACAAACGAAGCAGCCCCAGGCATCCTAAAACTGTAGAACTGCATCCTGTAATAGGCCATAACTCCGAAAATGACGATAAGCTACTAAAACTCCGTCATGAAACGCAACACGGGCCGAAACAAATCTAGGGAATCAGGACAAGGTCCAGAGGAGTTAAAAAAGTACCTATGAAAACAAATTAACTACCCAAAAGAATCTTAATAGCAGATGCTAAAATCTATCCAAAATCTACAAACGTAGATGTAGATTATACAAATAGATCTCTCGGGTAAAGATCTAAAGTTTTAAACCACTAAACTATAAACGAATTTAAGGAAAAATGGATTAAAAGAGGAAAAAGAGCAATTTTAAAAGAACACATATACCAAAAGTGCAAAAATGTTAGGTTTAATCATTTGGATTTTTAGTTTCAAATGTCCAGATATTTGGAGCTGTTGTGATTTAACTGAAAAAAGCACTTAAAGAAGAAGAAATATATATGAATATGCGTTATGAATATGCGTTATAAATAAGGTTGCAAATTTAAGATTGAAATGAATATTGTTTAACGGGTTTCATTAGAAGTAACTTAACAGAGAATGAATGTAGTAATAAAAAATCCATTCAAGGAACAATTTTAAAGCCTTATGGATTTATTAGTTTAAATTGCTATATAAAAAGGATATATGAATTCTTAAGTTAAATTAAAGAATTAATTTAAAATAAACAAAATTTGTCTTACCTTAACTGGCACTGGAACAGGTTTTTCTACTTCTACTGGCACCTTCTTTTCTACAGTGTAAGGTTGAGGTACTGGTACTTTAATGTGAACAGGTACAGGCTTTGGAACAATAACGGGGTATGGTTTGTCAATTGGAACTTTGACTTCATAAGGAACTGGTTTTTCGACTGGGTAAGGAACGTGCTTTTCAACGGTAACTGGGTAAGGTTTGGGAACATGGACTGTGTATGGCCTGTCGACTGGTACTTTAACTTCATAGGGTACTTTCTTTTCTACGGTGTAAGGTTGGGGGTATGGTACTTCAACTTTGACTGGGTAAGGAACTTTTTTGTAGACAGTGTAGGGTTGTGGGACTGGTACTTTAACAGGTACTGGTACTTTCTTTTCAACGGTATAAGGTTGTGGTACGTGCACTTTGACTTCATAAGGTCTGGGTACTGGTACTTTCACCTCATATGGTACTTTTTTAATAACTTCGTACGGTTGTGGTATGATCACAGGCACCTTAATGATTTCTTTTACAGGATAAGGTACTTTTTTGTACACGTCGTAAGGTTGTGGTACTGGTACTTTGACCTCGTATGGTACTTTCTTTTCTACGGTGTAAGGCACATGCTTGACTACTTCGTAAGGAGTTGGAATTTTCTTTTCAACTACGACAGTTTTTACGTGTTCGTGGTGTTCGTGATGACCTCCGTAATCGCCGCCTCCAAAATCATGACCGCCTAGGTCGAATCCTCCACCATGATCACCAAGGCCGTAAAGACCTCGTTTGTCTTGTTTTTTACTCTCCTGCGCTACTTCCTTTTTCTCGGATTCGGCAGCTAGAGTTAAGCAAAAGCAAACGCTAAGGACAATCTGAAAAATAAAGATTTTAAACAATTATAATAACGTAGAAAATATAGACAAAGTTATTAAAGTAAATAGTGATCTTAATAGTTGCTACGTACATATTTATTAACTATTTTAATATGTAATAATTAGTTTATTGCGTAAGTTTAAAAAAAATTGTTCTACATAAATTTAAAATTTACAAAAATTAAAACTGTAATCCGTATTTCAAGTTGAAATTTAAAATTAGTTCTTATTCTGGTTATAATAGCTTTAACAAAAAAAAAACTAAACAATGAAACTAATTTGTGTATAATTAGTTTATTTATGCAATTTAGTTTCGTTAAACCACAAAGAATTAATGAATGCAAAAATGCATGCCTCAAATTAGGCTAAAATGAATGCTATTTAAAATTCTTGGAATTAACATTATGAAAGGTATGGTACTATGAGTTTTCCAAACTGCGATGAAGGTCTCTTGGGACAGAGCATGTGGCCAATGATGAGGTGATAAGAAGGATGGAAACTAATATGATATTCTTGAACATTGTGAAATATTAAAAAACAAGTTATCCAGAGTATACTACAGAGAAGAAAAGTGTAACTTCTTACGACTCCTAATTAAAGCCGACAATAAACGGGGAAAGTTTCTTGAGGAAATAGATTTTATCCAATGAAGTAGAAAATAGGTGTAATGTGATTGTTTGTTAAATGACAGTGATGTTCTTTATTATTTAATTCTTTAAAAGTTATTTATATTTATTTAAGAGTTATATTTATGAAATGTGTGTTACTTATTAAGGTTTTAATAAGATAACAGTTGTATGACAATGAATGAAATTAGATGTACAATTGTGTGGGTGTGCAATTTTCTTCAACTTGTAATTATCAAATTTCTTTGATAAAGTCCAGTATATAAAATTATTAAAACCCAAATAATTAAGGACACTTAGGGACAAACAGAACACACTTCAAAAGGACGAAATAGACATTACATTTAAAAAAAGAAGGCTTAAAAGCACTACATCTCTGACTTGGGGACAATGAGTTTTTTTGTTGTCTATTAGATTTTAGAGGTAAATTTGACAAGCTAATCATTTTAGGCCTTTTGTGGTTAAAAGAAATGGGACACAGGAATAAAACGCTGTTCTTAATTAGAGAGTCTAAAAGACTGACCAGACATGGAAGTCAATTTACTATTAAAAGACAGTACTAAAAAAGGCACCAAAAAAGTGTCTAAAGAAATTACTTTGACAAGCAGTTTGATGCTGTATCAATAAAAAGAGTTTATCAGCTAAAGTTAAAGCTTTAAAATTTGGAGAAAAAAAATAGAAAAAAAACTTTTTTAAAAATATGAATAATAAGCGTAATCATTTAATCATTAGTTCATGTTAGAAAACCACAATGATGATCTGATAAGCAATTTTAATGAAATAATAAACATTTTAAATGTAATACATAAACTTTTACTTTATATATAAGAATAATAAGTAATTATCAAGAAATTTCTACTTGGACGTACGGTGAAAGTAGAATACATGTACCATATGGCGTATATGGTTATTGTAGTGCGAAGAAAAATTTTAAATTATTTGTTTCAACAAACAAATACTCTTCAATAAATGTGCGTGGTCTCACATTTCTTATTTTTATAAAATTACATTTTTTAAATGTAACACATTGGAACTATACAGAAGCCTAAAGAAGTTACTATAGATCTAAAAACGGTTCTCAGATTGCTGAATTTAAAGTAGGTGTTTAAGTCAAAGAGAATTTTAAAGAAATGCAGTAAATTTCATTTGGAAAATCTGTTACTGCAATAATATGCAAAAAAAATAAAATAGACCAATATTCATCTACAAGTGACTTATAAGAAAAAGGACTGTATTATACTGAGACAAAATTGCAGACCAAACGCAACTAAAACCAGTACTAGAATATTCAGTTTATAACACAAACAGAGTCTTCGATCAGGAATTCTCACAATTCACTCAGATATCATGTCTGTAAAATAGAGCTAATGGACAGAGAACCATGCACATTCTGAAAAATTGCAAAATAAACTTCCGAATATATTATTTGCTAATTCCGATCTTGGAATTAGTTCTTCAACATCATAATATACCTTCTGAAACGGACAATAAAGTTTCTTCATGTCGCGTTGTGGAATGTGTGGAACCAAATGATCGTTTTAAAGTCTACAATAATTGCTACGAGTACAGAACTGTAACAAGATATAAATATAGGCAAATAAACAGATATAAAAACATTCCAAAATAATTGAAAAAATTGAAATACGGGAATAAATGTAACTAAAAAGTTTTCTTATGGATTTCGAATGGTTGACGGAAAATCTAACTTGAATGAAATTGTAAATTGCTTTAAAAATTGGAAAAGAAAAATAACTATTGTTTTTAATATATTGGTTTGAGATATAGTGGTAAATTGAATAGCCTGAATATGACTATATTAGATTTTTGTTTCACAAATTTATATATTTATATATTGTTTAAATTAAATTATTGCCAACAGATTATTCCACAAAACTATCAACAATATTTAGCTAAGATCTTCTGAGATCAAGATGATGACAAAACTTACTGAAAATGATATACATAGGTCAATGTTCTGTATAAAATAATTCATATAATCTATTATTTGATCCATTAATTTTGAAATATACAAGGTTTTTATATCATAAAACCTTACTAAATAAATAAAAATTTAAAAAGTTTTACGATAATTAAAAATATCGATTACATGTTTATGAACAGTTAATATAAAATAAAAATTGGAAAATAAATAAAAAAATGAGATAATTATTGTATGAGAATACATAATCTAAATAAAAACTATATATAAATAATATTAAATTAAATAATTGGTTTAGGGATACTTTTTTAATTGTTAATTTGAAATTTTTTTATATATTTTAAATATTTAAGTAAATACTAACACATATCAAAAAAATTAATAAACACAAATGCAACACCTTTTTTTTGTAAAAATAATTATTAAATTATAGCTATAAAAATTTTCGATTTCAACTAGATAAAATTAATAAAAAATTATAATAAGTAAATAAAATATAAATTAATTAAATTAGAAACGTTGCAATAACAAAAAATAGCAAATTATGTGTTTCTAAAATTTTAATTTGGCATTCAAGCTTTTAACTATTTTGAAGAATTATTATTATTTATTCTAATATTGATTAACAATTTACAGTGTAGTGACAAAATTCCTTGTATGATTCTATTAATTTAAAAAATAAGATCAACATCTTTGGTTGTTTGATTTATATATTTCAAAGATGTAAAATATTCTTAAATATTTTGAATTCTACTAATTGAATGAATTTATTAATTGATAAAATAAATAAAAAACACTTTTAGTAGAATTAGTAAGGCAATAATTATTGTCGCCACAATTGTATATTAAAAATTAACACAAAAATCCTATAAAGCACTGCAAAATCCGAAAAACCATCCGTGTGATCACTATTCACTTTTTTTGAAAAAAAATCACTGCTGTAGAAGCACTTACCAAGGCCTTCATGATGATCGTGAGAGACGGAAGGCTTTGTGTGTTTAAAATTGGCATTTGTGGTTTATATATACCTATCACCCATGCACATACTTTCTATGAAACAGACGTTTACCACTTCGTTCATATATTTCACTTTATTATACTTCCATATCCTTTTCTTATGCAATGCGAGCATCCAGCGTAGCGTAGTGAAGAGCGCGCTTCTGTAAAAATGGATCTTACAGGGTAATACTATTTGTCTAATAAAACCAATAAGGATATTAAAAAAAGAAGGTCGAAATATTAGTTTAAAAAATCTGGAAAAGGTTAAAATTTTTTACTGCACCTTAGAAAATACAAATTATTAATAATAATAACTATGGGAAACATAGTTATTATTATTAATGACAAATTAGGGTAGAAAAAGACAAATATAAAATAACAAATATTGTCGAAGACTTCTATACATCCTTGTTCAGCTTGCAAGGCCAGCCTAATGAAACAACAAAGGAGAACGTCAAAAGAAAATTAAAAAACGTGGGATCAGAAGTACTACCAAATATACAGGGATACGAAGTATAAAGAGCTTTAAAAGATTTAAAAAATAATAAAGCTCCAGGACACGACGGTATAATTGCCGAGCTCTTGAAAAAAAGCAAGACATTAACAATCCCTGTACTAACAGAGCTATTTAATAGATGTCTTCATAATACCACAATATAAGGTTGAATATTCGAATAATTAAATTTTGAGGGTATACAAGGCAACTATCGAACACGGTGATTAATTTAATCTTGCCCAAGTACTTTCGATCAATAGATCATCTTCAGGGGCATTTCGTCAGTTGTGGCCTATCCGACATAGTAGAATGTCATAAATGTAAAATTTGGACACAACAATACAAAATACAATACACAAAGACAAACAAACACTTTAAAATTTTAAGGAGAAGCTACATGTTGTATAGAAGCCGAATCCCTAAAGACTGGAACGAGAGTCTAGTAATACTCTTACACAAAAAAGGGAACAAATGTGATCTACAGAATTATAGACCCATATCGTTGCTCAGTCAGGTATACAAACTATTTATGAGAATTATTAATAACAGGTTAACCTACAAAATGGATAATTACCAATCAGTTGAACAGGGTGGCTTAAGCAAGGAATATAGTACATCAAACCATCTGCTGACAATGAGAACATTGATAAAGAAGGCAAATGAACTACCAGTATTTCTTGCCTTCGTCGACTATGAAAAGGCGTTTGATAGTATCGAGATGTGGGCCATACAACAAGCTATTAATGATTGAGATATAGGGAACTTATACATAATATATATAAAAATGCAACTATAATAGTACAACTAGACGAAAATACAAATCCCATCCCCATTAAGAGAGGAGTGACACAAAGAGACGTAATATCGCCAAAGCTTTTCAACCTAGCCCTAGAAGACGTCTTCAAAACTACAAATTGGTCCACCTATGGCATTAACATTAATGGCAACAAGTTAAACCACCTCAGATTCGCTGACGACATAGTGATTATAGCAAGCACATTCAAGGAACTGCAAATTATGTTGGGGGAACTAGCAGCCAGCTTCCAATACGTCGGCCTAAAAATAAATATGAAAAAAACAAAAATAATGACAAACACAGATGACCTCAGACATATAAACGGCAGTGAGATAGAACAAATCCAGAAATATATTTACCTAGGCCAAATCGTGAGATTTTACAAAGAGAAACCAAAGTGCGGAAATTACTAGAAGAGCAAGACTATCATGGGCAGTATTTGGAAAACTTAGTTGGATACTTAAGAACCGCAAAATACCCCAATACTTGAGGAGCAAAGTGTTCAACCAATGCATCCTTCCTATCATGATATAAGGATGTCAAACCTGGACCCTAACCAAGGCAAACATGAATAAATTGGCCACAACAGAAAGAACAGTGGAAAGAGCAATGTTAGTTATACGACTGTCAGATAAAAAGAGAAACGACTGGGTAAGTTCCAAAACAAAAGTCGAGGACATAATAACCAAAAATGGCCAAACTTAAATGGAGCTTCACGGGCCACACTACTAGACAGAAAGACCAACGTTGTAATACTACAATACAACATTGGAGACCTTACGAAATTAAACAACCAAGAGGAAAACCACAGATGAGATGGGTTGATGACATTAAAAGAATAGCCGGAACAAATTGGAAATATGTTGCTCAGGATAGAGACCGATGGAAGGAGTTGGGAGAGGCCTATGTCCAAACATGGACGACAGAAGGCTAAGAAGAAGAAGAAGAAGAAGAAGAAGAATAGGAAACATTATCTACTAATGACAATCTTCTAATAACAGTTGACTGTCAGATAATGTTAATTACATATATAAATAATTGATATAAACAGTTAAAATTTGCAGAATTTCATTTTTGAAAACACTTGATTGTGAGCAGCGTCCTTTTAAAGCAGTAATTAAAATAATACTTACTAATAACTAGAAAAACCATCAAAGAAAATTTTTAGAAAATTTATACATGCAAAGTTCATACATGTTGATTCTCGTTCGAACCTCCGAACAGCTTTTACTTGTTAATTTGGACAAAAAATTTTTATATCTAAATGTTTATCTAATCTAAAATTTAAACAAAGGTGTAGTGCAAAACTATTACTTTTTCTGGACTAAAAACTGTAAGTTTTTTTCCTATTTTATCTATAACAAATCTAGGGTAAATAACTATTTCGTCGATTTGGCGTGAGGTTAATTATTAGTTCTTTCGGTAATGATCTATTATAAGCACCGGGGCCGTATTCAGGTTTCTTAGCCCAAGCATGAAAATGGATTCAGTAGCAGGAACTTCCACCATAGAAACTTTTGGCAATCTACTTGTAAACGAAGCATCAAAATTATATTCTACAGCTCTTAATCAACCATACAAATAAATTTCCAAATAAAAAATAATCAATTCCACTTCATTCACTTCCAAACTCTAGTATTGAAGTTTACCTATTGAGTAACTTGTAAAGTGATTCCCAAAAAATACATTCTATTTTCAAAATTTTAAACGATCGCATTTGTATCTACTTTACCAGTGAATAGACAGTCGATGAGTTTCTAGCAAACGGCAATAGGATTGTAGTAAATAATTAAGAACGTATTCAAGCCCAAAGACTAATAACTCCAAATGAACGACTGATTATTTCCAATATTACTGAGTATTCCGACAGCATTATAGAAGAAATACACTGTTTACATCGCCAACTAACTTAGATACATTACCCGATTCTATGTTAAATAACCATGAGGATAACAACTATCGAATTTTCTTTTTAAGGACAGCAAGGACATTTTTTAAGGACATCTCAGTGTCCTAATAAAAATAATCAGACTTCTTCAAACAACACCCAAAATACTGTTCATCTAAACTCTCTATAGGAAGTACTCCAATCGGCTCACCTTTTAAAATTTCTTCTACACAATCCTCTCTTACTGAGGCTAAAATGTCAAGAAAAATCATTACCTCTCAATCAAATAAGCATACTCCCATAAGCTGCGGTCTACCAAATGAGACTTAAATGGATACCTTCGATCAAGATATATCCTCATCCAAGCACCCTAAACGAAACGTATCTGAAATAATATCCAGGCCAATAAGAGATAACGAAAATGCCTTCGCTGAACCCAAGCCACGAAGCAAAAAACCAAAAACTTAACAAGAAAACAACAGGAACCTAGTAGAAGATCTTAGCAAATGCATCAGTCAATTCTTCAAAGAAAACTCCAACAATGAATAATTAACACAGAAAGAATTTATTCACTTTTTTGAAAATGCGCATGGTTCTTCAGATCCTCTCACTGTCGCCAGAACTTACTCGGAGGATATGGAAGTATTGATAGACTTTCTAAAGAAAATGTATCCAATGTTAAGTCCAAGATATCTTAAATCCGTTGTTCTAGAATTATAAACAAAATTACAGAACAAATTTTAAGTAATATTTCTACCGATGATTCTAGCGATTCCTCTCCGGAGACTTATTAATTAAACTATTTTCACTTCTATTATTGAATGAAACCTAAATAGGTACCATACCTATTTAGATCTTAAAATTCTTATAAATAAATTTCAACTATCCATCCTATGTTTGCAAAAAAAAACATTTCAAAGGAAACTCGTGTCACAATCTTAAACACCTCACCTCCAGACTTACGATTAGGACACACCAAGATCACAAATGATTTCCTACTACAGAAGTAACTCAAGCCTTTGTAGGCATGTGTCCGTTGTAGGCATTGTGTCCGTTGTAGGCATTTAAATGACAACATAAACAGTTACCTACAACAATAAAAGACATTCTAAGTGAACATCGTGACCACAATCGTACCATAGTTTTTTTGGTTTCCTCGGGACTAATTAATAAAATCTAGTTGTATTCTGTGTTTTTTTTTATATTTATGTTATCTGTAAAACTGACTATTGTTAATAACCCTTGTGGTTGAAGCAGTTTCAAATAGTAAAAAAAACGTTCATTCAGAATGTGGTGGCCTGTTTTCATACAATACATGTACCATATGGCGTATATGGTTATTGTAGTGCGAAGAAAAATTTTAAATTATTTGCTTCAACAAACAAATACTCATCAATAAATGTGCGTGGTCTCCCATTTCTTATTTTCATAAAATTACATTTTTTAAATGTAACACATTGGAACTATACAGAAGCCTAAAGAAGTTAGTATAGATCTAAAAACTGTTCTCAGATTGCTGAATTAAAAGTAGGTGTTTAAGTTAAAGAGAATTTTAAAGAAATGCAGCGTTTTCTGCAGCAAATTCTGTGTTTTTTTATATTGATGTTATCTGTAAAACTGACCATTGTTAATAATCCTTGTGGTTGAAGCAGTTTCAAATAGTAAAAAAAAGTTCATTCAGAATGTGGTGGCCTGTTTTCAGTTTTCATGTTTTTTTGTTTATCCAGGGACATCTCGATGATGTCTTTTACTCATAGTTATTATCCTTGAATAAAATTATTTTATTAGAAGTCCTGCTTTCCATCTGCCAGTCATTTCCAGTTTAATATTCATTTTA